TGTGTGTGTGTGTGTGTGTGTGTGTGTGTGGTGTCTGTGTCTCCTGTGTGTCGTGTGTGTGTCTGTGTGCAACCTAGGGCACAGTTCCCGTAGACCTAGTGATTCTGGTGACATGTGTGTATGTGCGTGTGCGTGTGTTAATTCTTAAACCGCGGCTGCATGGAGACTTGGGGCCGGCTTGCTCAGATGAAGACAGGGACTGTGAGTTCGAGCCCGCGGGGAGCCGGCGGCCTTCCCCTTCGGCGTGGACGTGCGCGCCCGGCCAGCGTTATGCAATATGGGGGGGGCGGGAACGCTTCGCAGCCCGTGTCCCTCTGTCTGTCCGTTTTCAGGACAGGAAACGGCTGGGCAGCCTAGACACCTCTAAAATTAACTTGGTACCACTTTATCAGCCCAGAGGCTGGGGGGGGGGGGGACAGAGACAGAGAGAGAGAGAGAGAGAGAGAGAGAGAGAGAGAGAGAGAGAGAGAGCAGTGTCATTTATTCAAAGAAATAACTTCTTAAAGGTTAAAACTAAAAAACAGCCCAGTCATATGGGTGTATATATGGTAAATGTGACTTATGTATGATATATATGATCTTGTATGATCTATATATGATCTATATGATAACGGCTTCCAGGAGAAGAGATCATCGAGGACTTTGTTTTTTTAAACAGACAAACCGTGAAGGAAGTGGGGCGCAGCCGCGATCTCGGGGAGCAGTTCACACACTGAAATCCACCCGCACATGTTTTGCAGAGGCCATCCCTGCAGATTAGACAGACAGACAGACAGACAGACAGACAGACAGACAGACAGACCAACCCACCTACCACAGCGGGGAAACTTGGATGCCTGGCACCAGCCGGGGACTGCAGTTTGGGGCTCGCTCTGGCATGGCCTTGGGGCGCAGACCGGATATAGCCGGCCGGGAGAGGCCTTGGGGTCCCGCCGGGGACCTACCACCCAGGGCGTCCGCCCTCTCCCCGGTAGGGGTGGGGGCACCCGATTTCTCCTGGGTCTTGGCCTAGGACCCCGTGGAGCAGGGGGAGGGTGCTGGGGGGGCGGAGGGCGCATGGGGAGGGCGCTGAGGGCGGGTGCGGGGGAGGGCGCAGGGGGGGTGCAGAGGGGAGGACGCATGGGGAAGGGCGCATGTGGGGGGGCGCCCCGGCAGGGATCCCTGGCCATCCTCTAACGGGGGAGGGGGCTGTACTTCCTGGCGATGACTCCCCACGGTTAAGAGGAGAAGTCACGGGGCGCCAGCAGCTCCCAGATGATCGGATTAGTGCCGGGCGGCGGTGTTGGCTTGGAGCTTGAGCCCGGAGAGCGGGGGTCAGCCGCTCGATTGACCGGAGGTGGAGGAGAATCAGCAGCCAGTGTTCGGGGTCGTACTCATTCTGCAGGTCCCGTTTGCCCCCCTTCCGCACCCCGCGTTCTAGAACGATAGCGGGGAGACAAGGAGGTCGTGGAGGATGCGTGGATGCGTGCGGGCATGCCTATTAATCCTCTATTAAATGTTCTTTTTAAACGCGAAGGTGGCCGCCGCCGGTGGCCACGAGAGGGCGCTGTTCGCGTGGCCACCGCGGGGCCCCGGCTGCGGACCGAGCACAGCACCTGGCCTTCATCTAAGGTTTTCCTCTTTTCCTTTTCCTTTTTTCTTTTTTAAACTGGAATCTGGAACGCAGCTTGCTGCAATCGTGAGAGGATTCTATGTTTCCAATGCCTTTCGCTCTTGTCGCCCTTTCTGCAGGCCAGATGTCATAGGATGAAGGCTGTGGGTGAGCTGCTGATTTCTATATTTTCCACCTATCTCCTGGTTATGTTTGGATTTAACGCTGCCCAAGACTTCTGGTGTTCAACTTTGGTGAAAGGAGTCATTTACGGATCCTATTCTGTAAGTGAGATGTTCCCCAAGAACTTTACCAACTGCACTTGGACGCTGGAAAATCCAGACCCAACCAAATACAGTATTTACCTGAAATTTTCCAAGAAGGACCTGAGCTGCTCCAACTTCTCCCTGCTGGCTTACCAGTTCGATCATTTCTCCCATGAAAAGATAAAGGATCTGTTAAGAAAGAACCATTCTATCATGCAGCTCTGTGATTCCAAGAATGCTTTTGTGTTTGTACAGTATGATAAAAATTTTATTCAGATTCGCCGGGTCTTCCCAGCCGAGTTCCCGGGATCGCAGAGAAAAGGAGACCACGATCAGAAATCTTTCTTTGAGTTTCTGGTGTTGAACAAGGTGAGCCCCAGCCAGTTCGGGTGCCAGGTCTTGTGCACCTGGCTGGAAAGCTGCCTGAAGTCCGAAAATGGCCGAGCTGAGTCCTGTGGGGCCATGTATACCAAGTGCTCCTGCCCCCAGCACCTGGGGGAGCTGGGCGGGGATGACCAGGCCTCGGTGGTGCTGCTGAGCAACGTGGTGCTGCCCCTGAATGAGCAGACGGAGGGCTGCCTGACCCAGGAGCTGCAGACCACCCAGATGTGCAACCTGACCCGCGAGGCCCGGAGGCCCCCCAAGGAAGGTGCGTTAGGGGACGGGGTGGGGTCTGTGGTGCAGGTCGGGGTGGGGTCTGTGGCCTGACGGTGTGCTTCTCTGCTTAGCACTGAGTGCTGATTTGTCATCTTTCCTCATGAAGGTCTCCCCAGTTAGCTTCTAGATCCAGGGCCTGGGGGACAGTGTATCCCTGGAGTGGGGGTGGGGTACTAGGAGGAGATGCTAGACTAGCCTGGAGGAAGGGCTGTGGGGGAGGGGAAATGGAGGAGGGGGCTGATGCCTTCATTCAGAGGGCAAAATTCTCCGTACACACAGGTCCTATTTGGTAAAGTAGACTTCTTCCTTCTGAAACATCCAGCATTGGGTCCCCTCCCTCCCTCTCTCCCCCTTTCCCTCCCTTCCTTCTTCCCTCCATCTCTCACTCCAGCCCTGCCTTTGGACACTATGACCAGGACCTCACAATAGCAAGCCAGAGAGTAGACACCCCCAAACTGGGTTGGCCCATTTTTGATGGACAGTAAATTCTGGGTGCAGAGGAACAGGCTGGCAGCCAAGCCCTCAAGCTCTGCTGGCTGACTTAGCCAAGGCAAGGAGCAGGCAGGGAGCAAAAGTAAACTCTTGATCTCCCCCCCCTTATGTCTCTTGCAATTGCTGGGCTATTTGGGGGGCAGAGGAGGTTGTTTTTTACTGTTGTCTTGGTCTCCTATTCATATGCATGGAAAAGGGAAGGAGGGAACATCCCAGAGGTGAGGTAGGTAGGAAAACACCTCGGAAACCAGTGCCAGGGAAATGCAGGGGAAGCCTGAAAGTACCTTGACTTGCACCCAGTCTGCAGTGAGGAGCCTGGGGAAACCTGAAGTCCAGGATGGCTTTGAATTATGCAAGGAAGCAGCAAAGGCATATTGGGAGGAAATGCCTTCCCCTCGGAGGCCGGGACTCACTCCAGCCTCCAGGATGGAGCTCATGCATATTCTTGCCTGGGCTGCAGCCCTGCACTCAGAGTGTGTTGATTTCTTATGCAGGAAATGTTTTCTGATGGCCACAAAGAGCTCAGTCTGTGGACAGGGACAGCCAAGCTCCAGCTCCTCCTCCCCTCCCCCCACACAAGTAGGCTTTGTGGCCCATGTCAAATTGTCCCTTGTTGGAGGGTTTTCATTGAGAGTAGCCAAGGGTCTGGAAGGGGGAGGGTGGAGGGCTGAGCCTCAGTAGCAGGAGCTGTTTCTCCCTGGCTGACTGGAAATGGGGGATGGGAATTCAAAGGCGTTGGGGGGGGGGAGGGGTCAGGGGATAGCAGAAAGGGAGAGGTCCTGCTAGGAAATAAATGCACACCAATGGCTGTGTGTGTGTGTGTGTGTGTGTGTGTGTGTGTGTGTGTGTGTGTGTATACCTTCAAACATCTCCACAGGTCAGTTAGCTAGCGGCTGAGACTGAAGACAAACAAAGTAGTTTTAAATTACAGGAGTTCTTTCTCCAGTGAAAATCCCAGAGCCACACTTTGTGACTGCGGGAGGGTGTTTAACACCATTTAAAACTAATTAGTGTCCCTGGAATTCGAAGCTTCAGCGGCTCAGAGAGAACTAGAGACCACACAGGGTCGGCCCACAGAGTAGTGCTCGCTCATGCACACTAGGTTGGTGTGTGTGTGTGCGTGCGCGTGTGCTTGTTTCATGGTCATTTTGTTACAACTTAGATATCGGTGTTTTCCACAGTTTTAATTCGGGCATTAAATGGGCTCCAGTCCCAGTGTCCATCCAGAAATGAACCAAGGCCGGGCGGGGGTGGGGCAGCAGCTTGACTGCAGAGGTTTTGTGGTCATTGCCAGGGGTGGACAGAAAGGTGTTAGAGCAGGCAGTCACGTGGTCCACACATCAGGAGTGACTGTTACACTTCAGGTGTGTAAGTGGTGTCAGAATATGGCAGGAGTGCCTGTGTAGACAATTACACAAGGGTGCTGGCTTTATGGTGATGTTGCTGGGGCTGGGCAAGGATGTGTGTGTCAGCGGGAGGGATGCCCCCTTAGGGGCGTGCAGCCTCTGCCCTCTGCATCCCGAAATCCAGGCTCTGTATTGGTTCGGGTGCAGCAAGGCCCAAAGATGGGGACCTATGGATCCTGGTGACAGAGCAGTCCCAGTGCTCTGGCCAGCTGTTCTTATACAATCTACCTCCTTCACCTCATCCCAGCCGAGCCTTGCCGGTGAGGGGCAGTGCAGAAAGGCTGTTTAAAGGCAACATAAAAATCCTGACTCCTGCGCTACTCACACTTATTCATGCAAAGTATGTGAGATCTTAAGTATCTGATATCACAGATACACGCGATGGTAGGAAAGGCTTCTCTAAGAGCCCTTCGAAGCTCTGAATGCCGTGAGTCCGGCTGTTTGGACTAGGCCTGCTACTCCAGGCAGCTCCGTTTCCTGTGAAAGCTCGGAACTCTGGCTCTTGAAACGAGGTAGTGCATGACATGATGGCTCACCTCTGTGCACGCGTGTTCACACTGGCCTCTCAGTCACCAAGGGGATGATTCTGTGGTGGGAGATGATTCTGTGGTGCTCAGGTTCCCTGGCTCAGGAGGAAGGCTGGCCTGGGGTGGCCAGCTTCTTTTCCTCATTCCACCCAGAAAGCTGCAGGGCGGGGCTGGGGAGCAGATGCCAGAGGTCCCGCTCACAACCTCGGCCAGCTGCCATGCTGTGGCCCAGGCCTCTAGATGACAGGATGAGACTCAGCAAGGATGGAGGAAACACAATAGAGAAAGGATTTGTACTAGAACATTCCTCTTGATTCATCCAGGGCCTCGGGACAGATGGAAAAAAAAATTTGCTGTTTTTAATATGACACAAAGTAAAGCATTGTACTGATGCCTCATTAAAATATTAAATATTAGTGCATCTAAGGATTGTCTTATTTATCAGTCTCTGGCATATTTAGGGTTGAGGTGTGTTATTATATGCTAGGATCTTATGTGAATTTGTTGAGCGACAAGGAGATTGAAACACACACAGACACAGACACATAAGACTTTGCAAGAATAGTGATGTCGTTCTGGGGGTTTTTATTTCTTGAACCTGTGTGCATATAATGGATAACCTGGGTTTTGTGTGTGTGTGTGTGTGTGTGTGTGTGTGTGTTTTGTGGAGGGGCAGGGATGGTCATGGGGCTTGAACTCTGGGCCTGGGTGCTGTTTCTCAGCTCTTCTAGCTCAAGGCTAGCACTCTACCACTAATGCCACTTCCAGTTTTCTGGTGGTTTTAACTGGAGATAGTTTCTCGGACTTTCCTGCCCAGGCTGGCTTTGAACTGAGATCCTCAGATCTCAGCCTCCTGAGTATCGAAGGCATGGGCTAGCGGTACCTGGCAGATACTCTATGTTTTGAAGGAAGCCCCAAGGACAGTATTGTGTTTGGGGGTGGTGGTGGGGGGAGGGGGAGTTCTGAGCCTGGAGAAAGATTGGACAACATTTGCAAAGAAAGCCATGTTTAGTTTCTCTGAAGACTTCACTGTCCTTTAAGGGTCTCATTTGTTGAAGATTATTCTGGACTATGAAGGTATAAAACCTGAGTGCTGGTGCTTCATGTCTGTCATCCATGTGACTCAGCAGCCTGAGATCTGAGGATCCCGGTTCAAAACCAGCCCTGACAGGAAAGTCCATGTGTCTTTTATCTCTAGGCAACCACCAAAAGTCTGGAAGTGATGGTGTGACTCAAGTAGTAGAATGCCAGCCTTGAGTGAAAAGCTAAGGGAGAGCAGAGCAGCAATGAGGCCCGTGAAAAGGGAAATATATTTAATATAATTAATATATAATGTATAATACATGCATAATATAATATATAGGTATGATATTGTTATTTTACTACTTCATTTAAAATGAGAAATTAAGACAGATGTTTAACTTAATAGAAAGCCTTGATGGGTTCTTGTTTCTAATGGCTCCCCTTAGTGAAAGGAAGTTGGGGTCCCTGCGGAGGCAGTTGAAGATCTGAAGGCCGCAGTTGTCTTCTCTCTGCCTCTCATCCTGGGCCCTCCACCTGTGTCCCCTGAGGGAAACTGTGTGCCCAGGTAAACTTCAGCAGTGTCCTGGGCTGTTTGCATTTTGAGGGAGCCTATCAAAGCTCCTGAGGGATTTCCATGGCCAGTTGTTTAATTGTCCTCATTTATTTCTGATTGGCCCTGGTTGCTCTCAGGTTGGTTTTGATCTACCTGTCTCCATCCTCTTTTTACTGCTTTGATCTCTTCCTCTGAAGATGGCTGCCTCTATCCACACTCTTCATGAGAACATAGGGAGGTTCACGCCCTCTGAGCGTTCCCCATAGCTCACCCCACTTTCAGGGGTCCCCACAGTGCTTTGCACACGGGGTATCTGGGCTCCAGCCTTCCTCTCCAGCGGGTGTGAAATTCCATCATATGCCCATCTCCCCCACCCAAGGTGGAGATCTCCAAGGGAAGGGCAGGCTGAGCAGGGTTCCCGTGAATGTTGGTTGAAATGAGTGGGGGAGCATCAGAGATGGTCAGCGATCACGTGACTTGGGCAAAACATCTTCCTGTCATTCCCTTCCCCGGGGAGCTGGGCGCCATTTACCCCCTGTCTGCTTCCATTCATGTGTGAGTGATGCCACTTTCTGGTCTCCAAGGGGTTGTTAAGACATATTGTTAAAACAACAAGCAAACAAAGAGTGAAATCATTGAGACTTGTTCTTTATTCCATGTATATTTATCTGACACGATCAGTGATAAATATGGCTTGATATCCATGGCAACCTAGATGAATAGTGGAAATAGAGGAAACTCGCCAGTCCCTCCCTGTCTGAGTTCATGCTGTGTCTCTCTGTCTTCTAGTTTGGCGTAATATTGTCATTTCCCAAACCCTCCTATCCACAAATGGCCATGCAACCTCTTGGGAAGAAAGAAAAGAGTACTTGGAAGACAGTTTTAGGGCTTCTGTTTGTAACTCTTGATGAAGAACTCTAACTCCATTAACAGGAGGCTGCTACTAAAATTATAGGCCAGGTCAAGCCAAATGTCTTGACCGCATTGTGTC